AAAAGGAAGAAATAAACATAAATACGGTAGAGGCACCTTCACTACAGTTGCAACTAAATGACATACGAGTATTGTAGAAAAAATCAAATAAGTAAATCTACATAAGAAGATTACATAAGCATAGACTTGACAACCAGATTGATCATCTAATAAAATCGACATTTATAGTCTGAGTGTACTAATCTACACCTTAAAATACTTCAATTTTTTTTTCCACTACCGAGTCATCAACCTAATTATTTTTTCCATTTTAAAAAGATGGGAAAGCTACCTTCCTCTTGGGGAGACCCTACCCCAATCGCTATCCTTTCTTGCCCAAAATAACCATCATTCTGGCTAAAAGGGGTAAATGCTATAAGAAAATTAGGCCATCTGCAAATTACTGACAACACTGCTTTCTCTCCTTTCTCTATTCTCTACTTCCCATCTCTCTAGTTCCAACTTGAGCAAACCCCCAACTATCACAATCTCAGTCCTGGTCCTTTGCACCCATCATCACCACCCAGTAACTAGCTCTCTGACATCATTAAGGCAGCAGCCACTAGTTTACGGGAAAAGTTTGTATATTTCGCGGTTCGAAGATCCAAATTTGGGATTTAAACTTCCTACTGGACTCCTCCATGATAAGTTTTGTTAATTGCCAAAGCCGGAAAAATTTAGTGTCAAACACAACAGCATTTAGCCATTATTTTTCTCTTTTCTATGCTTTTCTTAAAAGCATTTTTTGAAATCTGATCAGGCTCTTAATGGATAATAAATGAAAAGCGTAGTCAAAAAGGTACTATCAAAAGAAGTAAGTACAGATTGCATAGCATAACAATGGTGCACATGGTTGCGCGAGTTATGTTATCCAAATAACTCTTTGATCCATCATGCATTCAATAGACCATCATTCAGCAAGACCGGAAGAGGTGTTAATGAAAACATGAATAAGAACATACCTGGGAATTGATGATTATGATGCTCTTCTAGTGGACTGGAAGCAGGCACATTTGATGAACCAGGCCCAATTTCCACATAAGTTTTCTAGCCAATAGTAAAGACCAAAAAGGAAGTCTGATTTAATATATTATGTGTGGAAAACATATATATCGTGAACTTAGACTTATAATAAAGCATGAAAACAATAAAGAACTAAAATAGTAAATAATGTACCAGGGAAAAAACACTGGGCACGAGCATGCACATATTTACGGGTAGAGAATAGACACAAACTCATACACACACTTAATGATATAAAAATGATATGCTGCCTTCTAATTTCAAGCTCCAAGTAATATTATAAATTGAATACAAAAATGAAAGGAAGTGAAAATTATGAAAAACAATTGCATATTAGGAAGGCTAGCAATCTCTAATCTCTATTAAACCATCCTAAACAACCCCACACAAAAAAATCCTGTGAAATTGTACATACAGGTAAAGATAATTTATTAACTAAAATTTATATTATCAAAAGAACTATAATTCAACCATATTCAACCATCTTTTTCATTAATTATGCTGCTTGATTATAAAAATGAAGTATTAATGTGTGAGAGATGAAACAAATAGGAATGCTTGTTTTTTATATGGTCTCCTCGAACGGGAAAGGAAATCAGGTCCCTGTTACTCTTTAAGGCTCTATTTGGGAGGGATTAAATTTTTCTACAGTAAATCAATTCTCATTTTCAACCACACATTCTTCAATAAAATAATATTTTCCATCACATCAATAATTTTTTCTTTTTTTTCAACCACACATTT